TTGTCTAGCTGACTATATCAACAAGGGAGGTAACAAGGCAACTTGTCAGGATGGTCAACTTGTCGCAGCTAACGAACCTCCAAAGTGCTCCTCTGTCAGTATCAGTAAGTTAACGGAATGATGTGACATGTTCATGTAAAAATATCACAAGTGAATAGATAGAAGAGTAGATAATCCTTTGCCGCCGTATGGCGGTCACGCGCTACTGCAAGCGCGAGAGGGCTCTGGCCAGATCAACTACTAGGAGGTGCACCATAAAAATAAACTTGCTCGGATTTTAAAAATTTTTGTACCATTGTTTTCTAGAGACTGTGAGAATTTTCACAATACCAAATTTGTCATACCTTTTTGGAAAGATCAGTGAGTTTCGCCTAGGTGCCATATTTGATGGTGCGCGGCTTTTGGAGCAAAATTAGCTGTAAAAGTTGATTCACGATGTCAATCCTTCGCAGCTCGGTGAGGCACAGTGGTGCATCTCGCCGATCTACCGAAGATCGGTAGATCTTCGGTGGTTGCGAGAAGCATTATTTGATGCGCGCGCGACCCAGTAGTGCATCGCGCTACAATTGTAAAAGTCGCGTAATTTGACCAAATTTGACCAAATTCGTTGATTTTTGTCGTATTATTTGGATATATCTTCAGTTCCTTGAATGAGATCATTCTGAAAATTGGCGACAACCTTCTAATAGGGCTTTCACAACTGTCCGAAAAATTTGGTGGATATCGAAGTTGATATAGTGATCAAAATGGAGCAAAATATGCTGCTTTTAGCTGTAACATTATGTTTGATGGTTGGATATGCTTTAAACTTTTCGGACACCTTCCTTGTAAGTCTATGAGTAAGCTTACCAATTTTTGTTGCAATCGAAGGTTGGGAAGGATACTTGATATCTATTTGTTTGAAGAAAATTGTGCTGGCCGAAATTAGCGCTAAAAAACCATCCTACAGTCGGCACGCGCGGCTCACTGTCGATGGCGCACTACCTACAACTACTTTCCCAAAAGAGGATTAGTGGGACATGAAGTTAAATGACGCTATCTAGCGTCATTTAACGCTTGTTATGCGAGTACACTGTCGCGAGGCGACAGCTAGCGCTATTTGCAAAGAATTTCTGGCCTTTTTGTGGGCGACATTTAGCGCTATCTAGCGCTAGATGACGCTAAATACCGAAATTCAACTGTCGGTAAAGGTCCAATTAGTGAAGATTTCCCTAACTCAGATATCTTATATCCCTGCACAAATGGCGCGCGCGCGACAGCAGCAGTTAGTGCAGCAGTTAGCAGCAGTTAGCAGCAGTTAGCAGCAGTTAGCAGCAGTTAGCAGCAGTTAGCAGCAGTGAGCAGCAGTTAGCAGCAGTTAGCAGCAGTGAGTAGCAGTGAGCAGCATTTAGCAGCAGTGAGGAGCAGTTAGCAGCAGTGAGCAGCAGTGAGCAGCATTTAGCAGCAGTGAGCAGCAGTTAGCAGCATTTTCTTTGCACTTTGGCCCTCCTGTGCAGCTGAACTTTTAAAAATGCAGCAGTTAAAGCAGCATTGCATGGAACGCACAAGATTCTGTGTGCAAACATAATTTTTAAAATGCAACGAATTAATTATTATTTAACATGATAATTGTTTATCTATCATTAAAGAAATCTAATTCATTTCTAGTTTTCATTTACAAATCTAAACGATTTTCATAACGCGGATTTCTTTCTCGCACAACTTTCAAAACCATGATTTGAAGGAATTTTTCCATCTCCAGCGCCATTGTATGATATTTGATAGGCGATTTCATAAATAACAATTGTAATAATGTTTATCTAATATATTTAACAAGTACATAATTTTTAATCTATAAGAGAAGAATGTTTTCTAAAATGTTTATAAAACAAAATTTCTTACTTTACTCATAAAAGAACAAGCTTATTTTAATAGTATTTTAAGAATATCTATATTTTATAATAACTGTGATGATTTATAATAACTGTGATAATTTAGAAAAATGTATTAATTTACTTTGATTTCTACAGTCTCTAAGAAAAGTGTCGTACAAGACACTTTTATCTCTCTGATCGATTCAAAAATAAAACCGCGGTGGAAACCTAATAACGCTAGTTAGTGCGCCATTAACACTAACATACAGCGAGTCTCCATCCTAACAACGCGATAATTAGAGTAAAAGAAACCCATTTTTTGAAATATTTTGCGATATTTTCTTCTCGCTCATCGTTTAATCACAAAATGAAACCTTCCATCAGACGTTGTGCAATTGTATAAATTTCCGAAGTTTATTGAGAAAGTATAGCATTCTTTCGATAAGTAATCATCATGCGTGTAATTGTTGCAATATACCGTCAGCCATGACCATCACAAACGAATGATTCTTGGAACACGATACATCTAACAGTCGGATTTGGTTACCATTGGTTACCATTTTCCCACTTTCTTTTCATTTCAATGCATTGTGCAACTAGAGTAATTGTGGCGCCTATTAAAATATTAAAAAATTAAATGGTCCCTTGTACGTTTGTGAATATGACATTTTTTCCTCAAATTCAAGGACACAGCTGACAGTAACCAATTTCATTTTCAACAAGCTTCACGATAAAAATATTTCGTATTTCTTTTGAAGAACTCTGCTCTGCATTATTTTTAGATATCTGTTATTACAGGCTACACCGACAGCTAAGCCAGTTCAATGACTGATCTCAAAGATTACGGTGAGAAGGATGGCGAGGATATGGCAGCATCCGACACCCAGTGTAAGCCGACTGACAATAGGGACAAAATGAAAAAGAACATAACAGTTTTACGAGGGATAGCATTGGTGGTTGGTACAGTTATAGGAACTGGGATCTTCATCACTCCAAACTCTATCACCAGGAGAGTGAACGCTCCTGCTACATCAATCCTGGTCTGGCTGGCAGGTGGGGTGATGGCAGGTGTCGGTGGTCTTGTCTTCTGTGAGCTGGGGACCATGATACCGGTCTCCGGGGCCGAGGTTGCATATCTTAAAAAGATATACGGCCCTCTGCCTGGCTTTTTGTCAGTGTGGCTAATGCACTTTCTGTTAGGTGGTATGCGTCGTGCTATTGGTGTACTAGGGTTCTCTAAGTACTTCTGGACTCTATTTTACGAGAATCCAGAAGTTGAAGTTAACTGGTGGGTCTCTAAACTAATCGCTCTATCAGTCTTATACATCATAGTTGCACTCGTCACCTTCAAACCGACCTTCATACTAAAATGTATCGTGTTCTTTACTTCTTCCAAGTTTGTTGCGACGATAATTATAATAGTAGCAGGATTTGTTTATCTAGCTAAAGGACATACAGAAAACATCTCTGTGGGCTTTGAAGGGACTAACACTGATGCTAAAGAGTGGGGAGATGCATGGAATGGGGTCATTTGGTCTTATCTGGGCTGGGAACAGATTTGTATTGTCACAAGTGAAATCAGAAACCCTCAAAAAAATTTACCTATCATAGTTTTGAGTTCCGTGGCGATAGTCACAGTTTTGTATCTGTTGACAGTCATCAGCTACCACATAGTTTTGCCTCTCAGTATTATGACGCAGGATAAAGCGGTGGCCAGTGAATTCGGGTTCCAGACCATGGGAGATGCAGGGAGGATAATCCTGGCTCTTACTGTAGTGCTGTCAACTTTAGGAAACGTTCAATGTACCTTTCTTACCCAAAGCCGGTACATTCACTCCGGAAGTGTGGAAGGTCTTCTTCCTTCTTGCTTCGGCTTGGTCAGCAAACGCTTCAGAACTCCCATAGTGTCCATCCTGTATCTGACTGGAGTTACCTCGGTGTTTGTCATAGTCGGAGGAATTGATGATCTCATCAGTGCAGCAAGTTTCACTGTGTTCCCGTTCTATGTTGCTTGCTCAGCAGGTGTTTTTGTCATGAGAAAAACACATCCTCATATCCCCCGGCCTTACAGAGTACCACTAATCTTCCCTGCTCTGTTCATTCTCTTCGGTCTTTTTGTCTTTATCACCCCCTTCTTGGGTGAAGATTGGTTGATATCTTTGATTTGGGTTCTGATCCTGCTGCTGGGAATTCCTCTTTATTATCTTATTCTGAAGAATGTGTTACGGTTGGAATTCCTTGGGAAGTGGGATGCAACTGTCACGGCACTTCTGGCGAGACTGCTGAATTGTGATTAAATTTGCACTGTAGTGGACTGAACTTGTAATTGGTGTTAAACAATTGCATACAAACATTAAATTTGTATCACAATTATCTTGTTCTGGTTGATTATATTTGCAGTTTAGTTATAGTACTGCAGAGATTCGATCAGTAAGTGCAGAATGTTGGAAATGTGAATTGTTTGATTTGGGCTAATTAAGGTTACATACATTATGCTATTATGATTATTCAAACCTGGCCTTTTGGAAATGCATCAATCTTGTGCCAAAACTTTCATTCTCACTTTGATTTCGGGAGTAAATATTTAATGCAGATGTTAGATCTGAATCTTTACAATTATCCAAAAATTACAAAATTGTTAAAATTCTTCTTGATTTATGATTAGAATAATTTTTTTTTTTCAAAATATTTTTTTCTTGGATATTTTGTCACTAATAATAAGCATGAACAAATTTAATTTTTTTTTCAAATTAATAACGAGCTTATTATTTCAATATAATCGCTGAAAACATACACTTCAAATACATGAATCAACCATAACAGTTAAATGTCGAAACTATTTATAAACAATTAAATTCACTACTTTACTAGTATGTTAAAATCACTTTTGCGAAGACGTTACAATTTTCGATCATAATCGATTTCACCTTGTATCAGATATGATAATAGAAATACCCCATCCATGACAACGAATTAAAGATACTCGGCAATACAGTTTTCTTACTAAATAACTGTTATCAATATTATACACCACCCGTTTCAGTCGCACTGTTTTAGAGATGTTCTCAACAATTAGGGGTCGTTCACATATCACGTAATCAGCCGAGGGGGGGGGGGGGTTTCCAAACGATTACGCTAGTGTAATTTTGACACAATAGCTATGTGTAAAACTGATTACGGAGGGGGGGGGGGGGTTAACAATTGCCAACAAATTGATTACGTAATATGTGAACGACCCTTACCACCGATAATATACTGAGTACTGACTACCACTTTCCCATGATCACATCACGTCATCATCACGTGGGTTGAACCCAGTTCAACAGTTCCGTGTAATGGGACCCCACATATAATGATGAAAACACCACAGAAGTCCCTGAATTTTCAAATGTAAAGAAGAATTCTGCTAAACCGGAGTAACGCTTGGGAATAAGGCTTTGCTCTTTTTGTTCGTTAACTTATCTTTCTTCTGTAATAAAGGTTTGTTAGTTTTGGGTAATTTTAACTGAAAATGTGATTGTTTGATCCGGAATTCTTACAGCTGACGTCATGCGGTCATTCACAACTTGATGCAGAATAAATTATTCGTTTATATTTAATGTACTGCTTTGGAGAATGGTTTTAAAATAATTATATTCAATTTTGTGCTTTCAATTAAATGGAAGAAAAATCAGCACTTATTTGCAACATGTAGCATGTATGTATTTGCAAACTTTGTTTTAGATACCAGTCCCCTCATATAAGCATATAACAGTAAGTATAATTATAACGTAACTAGTCATGTTATTAGTATTATGCAATACTTGGTCATCATCTATACTTTCTTAAGTGAACTCATAGGATTTTTATACTGAAAAGTTACATAGGTGCTGATATTATGAAATCAATCCAAAAATTATCTAAGTTTTGAGAATCGTCAAAATATTATACATAACAACAGCTCTTTACATTTTACGTTAATGATCAGAGGCGAGATGTGAGATAACAATATATTAATATCGATGAAATATCGTTTAAAGTTTCAGTAATGGATGTCATGATTTGTACTGATTTAATTAACACCTCTCTTTTTAATCTCTCCAAAAACCATAATGGTGTTAAGAGAGTAGGGTCAACACGATTTTCTACATTTATTGCAGTCGATCTCATTTATTTGCTACATTCATTGCAGTCGATCTCATTTACCAGCTTTGCTTTACAATTATTTTAAAAATAACATGTACTTGTAGTAACGAATATCATTTTTGAATTAAATCTGCATTGTTTTTATCGTTTCTACACTTTACAGCTTCTGACAGCAGCTTCAATGACTGATGTCAAAACCAACACTGAAACGGCAGAAGAGAAGATTGCTGGACCAACAATGGAGAGTAAACCTACCGATAATAGGGATAAGATGAAAAAGAACATAACAGTTTTGCGGGGCATAGCTCTTGTGGTTGGAATCATGATTGGCACGGGGATCTTCATCACTCCAAACTCTATCACCAGGAGAGTGAACGCTCCTGCTACATCAATCCTGGTCTGGCTGGCAGGTGGGGTGATGGCAGGTGTCGGTGGTCTTGTCTTCTGTGAGCTGGGGACCATGATACCGGTCTCCGGGGCCGAGGTTGCATATCTTAAAAAGATATACGGCCCTCTGCCTGGCTTTTTGTCAGTTTGGCTTAAACACCTTCTGTTGGGTGGTATGCGTCGTGCTATTGGTGTACTAGGGTTCTCTAAGTACTTCTGGACTCTATTTTACGAGAATCCAGAAGTTGAAGTTAACTGGTGGGTCTCTAAACTAGTCGCTCTATCAGTCTTATACATCATAGTTGCACTCGTCACCTTCAAACCGACCTTCATACTGAAATGTATCGTGTTTTTCACTGCTACTAAGGTCGTTGCTGCGATAATTATAATAGTAGCAGGATTTGTTTATCTAGCTAAAGGACATACAGAAAACATCTCTGTGGGCTTTGAAGGGACTAACACTGATGCTAAAGAGTGGGGAGATGCATGGAATGGGGTCATTTGGTCTTATCTGGGCTGGGATCAGATTTGCACCGTCACAAGTGAGATCCAAAATCCTCAACGAAACATACCTATCATAGTTATGAGTTCAGTGACAATAGTCACCGTTTTGTACCTGCTGACAGTCATCAGCTATCATATAGTCTTGCCTCTGAGTATTATGACGCAGGATAAAGCGGTGGCCAGTGAATTCGGGTTCCAGACCATGGGAGATGCAGGGAAAATTATTTTAGTACTATCCGTAGTGCTGTCGGCTTTAGGAAACGTTCAATGTAACTTTCTTACCCAAAGCCGGTACATTCACTCAGGAAGTGTGGAAGGCTTTCTCCCCTCCTGCTTCGGCTTGGTCAGCAAACGCTTCAGAACTCCCATAGTGTCCATCCTGTATCTGACTGGAGTTACCTCGGTGTTTGTCATAGTCGGAGGTATTGATGATCTGATAAGTTCAGCTAGTTTTACAATGGTACCGTTTTACACTGCTTGCTCGGCTGGTGTGTTTGTCATGCGGAAAACACATCCTGATATCCCCCGGCCTTACAGAGTACCCCTAATCTTCCCTGCTCTCTTCATTCTCTTTGGGCTGTATGTGTTCATCAACCCCTTCTTGGGTGGAGATTGGTTGATATCTTTGATTTGGGTTCTGGTCCTGCTGCTGGGAATTCCTCTTTATTATCTTATTCTGAAGAACGTGTTTCGGCTGGAGTTTCTTGGGAAGTGGGATGAAACTGCTACAGCTTTCTTTTCAAGACTGCTCAACTGTGATTAGATATTGTGGTACACGGGTTTTTCGAAATCATCTGCAGAATTTGATTATTTTGGAATATTTATTGGATTATTTTGGAATATTTTACCTAATTAGAATTTCTTCTGCCACCAATCATTGAATTATTTATATATTATAAATAATAAATTTTAATCCGATTTTAGGTAACCTAGTCCTTTAATGTTTAATTGAAGATTCTGGCATATCATATTATTATATGCATATCAATAGTGTGAACTTACTAAACTAATATGTACACGACAATCCTACTTTTTGATTTATAATGTTTACTTCCATAGTCCATACTTTGCAGATTATAAAATTATTATTGCACCGGTCTGGCTTTCATTTTAGAGCTTTACAGGGCTAATCATAGGTCGTTGAATTAAAGATGGTCCTACATTTTCCTGCTACCATTGCACCTTACTGAAATCTCTTTCTACTTACATAATTCATATTCAACACTTGAAAAATTATTAAATTACAGAAAAAGGGCAAAAAGCGGCCTTTTAATTGCTGAATAGCAAACAGTAAATGTAACTTACATCTGATGGAAATTTGAAGTGCTCTATTTTGTGCTTCGCCTTAGGACTTGGGGTTGGTGATGCCTTTGCTGCTGACACTGACACTGGCCTATCAATAACGTTGGAACCTAAAGCAGGTATAGTAGCAGGTAAAGCAGCTATAAAAATAACGAGCCGTTTGAAAGATTGACTACAAATTTTTACTCTGAAGATTTTTGAGCAATAAGGGGTTATGAGTATGTTTGCTGTTGGTTGATGAAGTGTTCAAGATTACGTTGCAACCGTGGATTGTAAAATCTTTTAACCGATCAACAAAACTGACTTCAGTCCAGAAAGTCATGAATGTACACAATAATTTAAAACACAAGGAAACATTTTATAAAGAAAAACTTAATTACTTGATGGAGCACTGTTGGGTTTGTTGTGGTTAAAGAAGGTAAAATGTTCCCAAGATAACCTTCTGCTGTCATGGTAACCGTGACGCGGCCTCGTTGCTCCTGGACCTCTGGGGTGGAGAAGTGGATATTAAGGAAGGTTCACATATAATTACATTACCTAATATCTACATATTCATATTTTACATTAACCACCCTAGATATATGAGTATATTGTGTATGGTGGCTTAAAATGGCTTATTTAATATGTGAACGATTCGTTAAGCTAATAGTTATCCGTATGTAGTTTTAATCGCCAGCTTAATTGAATTAATACTGGCAAAATTCATATTCTGAGATGGTACTAGAATAAATTTTGATTCATATTTTATAACTGTAACCACAAGTAACTCAAAAAAATGAATGATGATATGAATAATGCATGAAGTTACAAGAGTGTCTTTTTTTCCATAAAAGTTATGCAAAGGTTCTAAATCATAATACAAAACCATGCTGTTCAAGTATGCAAGTAATAAAAAAACACAGTTAATGTTAGGGATAAAGTTGGGTCCTGGTTAGGATGGGCCCGATTGGGTAAGGGTTAGGTAAAGGTCCAAAATCATGTTTACTGCTTAATATTAGGTGGTGAAACGTCTGCGGAGTGGAAAATCATGTTTACTGCTTAATATTAGGGGGTGAAACGTCTGCAGAGTGGAAAAGCATGTTCAATGTTTAGTATTAGGGGGTGAAACGTCTGCACGAGTGGAAAGGCATGTTTAATGATTCGTATTACGGGTTGAAACGTCTGCTGAGTGGAAAAGCATGTTAAAAAACCAAAAACAGCTATAAAAGTATAAATGGGAACTCAATAAAACTGCTGGATAAGTTAAAGCAAAATAAATTCTTAAATACCTCTAAAATACCATTGAATCACTACTAAAATACATTTAAAATAGTGGATATATTGGATATAATAGTGGATATAATATTGGATATACTCACACGGTCCTGATACCGTCTCCCCTCACGTGGATATTCTTTGAAGCTTTCTTTCCAGACCTGTCAGGGGTTCTGTTTGTTTTAAAGAAAAGTTTTTTAGAAGTGAAAGCTTTATAGTTGGGCAATCTTTTTGAAATCATATTAATGTTATATGGAACGAAATAGTTTTTAACTTTGGGCGAATAATACAGTCATCGAAAGAATATTTTCCGTCTAGAATTCGATTACAATTTGTTTTTGAATACCTTGTGCTGCGGCGATGTGGAAGATTTCTCGAGAGTTTGGGTCGCAAATTAAATTCTTTATCGTCCACTATATTGAGATTGTCATCAGAAAATATGTCGTCTTGAAATTCTACTCTGAAACAAAAGGAATTCAATAAATAGATGGAACACTACCAGATTTAGGTCAAACATAAGTTAGCACTGTGTCATGTTAACTGAAAGAATACCAGTACTATTTAGTCGTATTGATAGGTGACTCCTTGCTTTTGTCAAAATAATATCAGTAAATATTACATCTAATTTTCAAATGTCTAAATATGACCTGTTAGGAGTTGGTTCCAATGTCAAAATATTACCTGTTAGGAGTTGGTTCCAATGTTAAACTACTGAGGGCTTTAGTAAGCTTTTTGATGCTTCCTTTCGATTTTAATGCCTGTAAATTAGTCAATAGACTCATTTTAGTGTACGCCTTGATAGGGCATCTCAGGACAAAAATATGTTAACACTCATGATTGTAAAAATAAAACAACAAATTTTAAAAGTTGGTTTATTTAAGAATTTTCAGTTTAACTGAAATACTGAAATAGTTACTATAAATACTTGAATTCTAAAATATATTCAATCAAGACAATCAAATTTAAATAACGTAAATTAAATGTACGACAATCAAATAAATAACGTGAATTAAATATAATAACGTACAGCAAGTTGATGGTGGTTCATTTTGGACAGCGCAACCGTATCATCTAAATGTAGGCTTCTCAACAGGGACACCGTCTCGAAATCCAGGTCATGCTTATTCGCCCACTTTCTGAAAATTATGTTTGGATTGCAATCTGGTGATCTTAGATGTGAAGTTAACAACAATTTCTTGGATGAATTTCGTGTATGAATAAAACAGTTCAAATTTTCATGGCATAGATACTAAATTTTGTAAGATAGCTAATGTTAGGAGGTGCACTACCTACTAATATATCAGTTTCCTCAACAATTCCCTTACCTAAATGTATCAGTTTCCTCAACAATTCCCTTACCTAAATGTATCAGTTTCTTCAACAATTCCCTTACCTAAATGTATCACTTTCCTCAACAATATCCTTACCTAAATGTATCAGTTTCCTCAACAATTCCCTTACCTAAATGTATCAGTTTCCTCAACAATATCCTTACCTAAATGTATCAGTTTCCTCATCATAGAACTGAACCTCATCATCCCACTCGTTAAGATTACTTTCATTAGAGTAGAATTCCCACCAAGACACTATCTTTAGATTGTTAACGTACTCTTCTTCTCTTTTGTACCTGGGAGTCATTAGTTGTTAATAAGTAAATAATTAGTAAATAATAAGTATATAATTAGTAAATAATTAGTAAATAATTAGTAAATAATTTGTAATTTGTAAATAATAGTATCACGAGATTTTTATTTCCCGCAGTCAAATGACGAATGACTTGATTACATTCTTATTGAATGAGGAATTATATTTTCGAATTCATAGTCAGTACCTAAATAGAGATAAAGTAAAAAACCAAAACATATATTGTGTAAGCAACGCTCCATAAGTAATTGATTAGTAGTTTATAATTATCCGTTAAGTTATATACGCTAATTCAACTGCGTATAATGCGATTACACTATTAATTGCACGAGGCGCAGCCGAGTGCAAATTGATACAATAATCGCACGAGGCGAAGCCGAGTTCGATTATTGCAGTTATTTCACGAGGCGCAGCCGAGTGCAATAACTGGTGTAATCGTGTAATCATATTATACATGCAGTTAGATTCGCGTATAACTCCACGCTTCTGGTGTTATAACCAGTGCATTGATTTAATAATATAAATTTACATAATAATGATTTAATAACACACAACTAAATTTCCCACCTTGGAGTTATACATGAGTAGTTAGACAGTGTGGTGGCCTCGTCCAAATCATTTATCCAGTCAAGGTGATCCAACAAGTCCGACTCATCACAGCTCATAGCCGCACTTCGGTCCTGCAATTAAATAACTTTAAGATTTAATTTAACTTTAATTTTTAACTTTAAGATTTCAAGCCTTATATTGTGTGTTTCCCTTCGTGTCCAAAAGCATTATATTAAATAACTTTTTTACTTGTACTATGTTATTTGCTATAAATTCTGATATTTTTATGGAAGGGAGACGGGGTAGACCATGTTTAAACTTATTAGATGTTATTAGAAAAGACTTGACTAGTAGAAATCTTGATATTAGACTTAAGAATTTGACTGATTTCGAAGACCTTAGATTTTTAGCTTTAGATAGGGAGGAGTGGAAGAAGTTAGAAGATGGTTGATGTTTTTTGTTTTCTTTTTTATGCGTTTTGATATCTATAAGGTGCCTAGGATGCTCTTTTAAAGAGATATTTCGTACTTTGAAAGATTTACTACTACTTGTACAGGCGGAATATCTGCTTTTCACTAATGTATCTGTGAATTATAATAGGTATCAATTTCACTTCAAGGTACCTGTTTTGTTTGTTGTAGCGTATTTACAGATGCAGCAAAACCCCGAATTACCGCGGTAAATTGGGGTTTTACTGTATATGTATAAAATTTGCTTTAAAGCTTTAAAGTAAATGACAATTGTGTTGAACAGTGTATTTATCAGTAAAAGTGTTCATTTTGCACAATGTTATACATTCTTGTTCAATAGATATATTGTTAACTCTTATATATTGTGTTCTTCTTGTCTAAAAACCAATACTATATCATGTACTTACTATTCAGTTTTATAGATGTATCAAATTTAAGTAGAAAATGAAATGTCTGCATATTCATATTTCCGAAAGTATTTATTTTCATATTTCCGAAAGTATATATATATGATAGTAAGTACAATTTCAAAAATATGATTCTTAATAAGCTTTCATCAAAAAACCTTAAACCACCTACTTACATTTGTGGGGTTACCAACTATTCTCTACTTACATTTGCGGGGTTACCAACTATTCTCTACTTATATTTGCAGGGTTACCAACTATTCTCTACTTACATTTGAGGGGTTACCAACTAATCTCTACTTACATTTGAGAGGTTACCAACTATTCTCTACTTAAATTTGAGGGGTTACCAACTATTCTCTACTTAAATTTGAGGGGTCACCAACTATTCTCTACTTACATTTACGGGGTTACCAACTATTCTCTACTTACATTTGAGGGGTTGCCAACTATTCTCTACTTACCTTTGCGGGGTTACCAACTATTCTCTACTTACATTTGCGGGGTTACCAACTATTCTCTACTTACATTTGAGGGGTTATCCAAGTATTCTCTACTTACATTTGAGGGGTTATCCGACTATTCTCTACTTACATTTGAGGGGTTACCAACTATTCTCTACTTACATTTGAGGGGTTATCCAAGTATTCTCTACTTACATTTGAGGGGTTATCCAAGTATTCTCTACTTACATTTGCGGGGTTACCAACTATTCTTTACTTACATTTGCGGGGTTACCAACTATTTCTCTACTTACATTTGAGGGGTTATCCAAGTATTCTCTACTTACATTTGAGGGGTTATCCAACTATTCTCTACTTACATTTGCGGGGTTACCAACTATTCTCTACTTACATTTGAGGGGTTATCCAAGTATTCTCTACTTACATTTGAGAGGTTACCAAGTATTCTCTACTTACATTTGCGGGGTTACCAACTATTCTCTACTTACATTTGCGGGGTTACCAACTATTCTCTACTTACATTTGAGGGGTTACCAACTATTCTCTACTTATATTTGCAGGGTTACCAACTATTCTCTACTTACATTTGAGGGGTTACCAACTAATCTCTACTTACATTTGAGAGGTTACCAACTATTCTCTACTTAAATTTGAGGGGTTACCAACTATTCTCTACTTAAATTTGAGGGGTCACCAACTATTCTCTACTTACATTTACGGGGTTACCAACTATTCTCTACTTACATTTGAGGGGTTGCCAACTATTCTTTACTTACCTTTGCGGGGTTACCAACTATTCTCTACTTACATTTGCGGGGTTACCAACTATTCTCTACTTACATTTGAGGGGTTATCCAAGTATTCTCTACTTACATTTGAGGGGTTATCCGACTATTCTCTACTTACATTTGAGGGGTTACCAACTATTCTCTACTTACATTTGAGGGGTTATCCAAGTATTCTCTACTTACATTTGAGGGGTTATCCAAGTATTCTCTACTTACATTTGCGGGGTTACCAACTATTCTTTACTTACATTTGCGGGGTTACCAACTATTTCTCTACTTGCATTTGAGGGTTATCCAAGTATTCTCTACTTACATTTGAGGGGTTATCCAACTATTCTCTACTTACATTTGCGGGGTTACCAACTATTCTCTACTTACATTTGAGGGGTTATCCAAGTATTCTCTACTTACATTTGCGGGGTTACCAACTATTCTCTACTTACATTTGAGGGGTTACCAACTATTCTCTACTTACATTTGAGGGGTTACCAAGTATTCTCTACTTACATTTGAGGGGTTACCAAGTATTCTCTACTTACATTTGCGGGGTTACCAACTATTCTCTACTTACATTTGCGGGGTTACCAACTATTCTCTACTTACATTTGCGGGGTTACCAACTATTCTCTTCTTACATTTGAGGGGTCACCAACTATTCTCTACTTACATTTGAGGGGTTATCCAAGTATTCTCTACTTACATTTGAGGGGTTATCCAAGTATTCTCTACTTACATTTGAGGGGTTATCCAAGTATTCTTTACTTACATTTGCGGGGTTATCCAAGTATTCTCTACACTGCTTCCCAATGAAATACGGGTACTCCTCCCCAGACGAGTTCCCACTATCCGAGCTAAACCTCCTGTTCGCAGCACTAACATTACTCTCAGTATCCCCCGCTGAGCTCCCCCTTACCGTCCCCTCCTCACTTAGAAACGTCTCCGTGCAGTTCTTCACCAGGTTCCCTACCACAGATATCCTCAGCTCCTTCTCAGGGAGTGGGGAGGTTCTGCGGGTCCTGTTGTACGTTCTCTTTACAAACCTCCAGACTGTTACCAAGGATCTTAGTTTCAGGCCTGCTGCCGCTGCTGCTGCTGCGGGAGCTTTCTTGTTTCTCTGGGATACAGTTGGACTCTTGCTGACGGGGGAGGGAGATGGTATCTTGTTTCTCTGGGATACAGTTGGACTCTTGCTGACGGGGGAGGGAGATGGTATCTTGTTTCTCTGGGATACAGTCGGACTCTTGCTGACGGGGGAGGGAGATGGTATCTTGTTTCTCTGGGATACAGTTGGACTCTTGCTGACGGAGGAGGGATTGCTGACGGAGGAGGGAGATGGTGTCCGGGAGCGGGTCCGATGTGGGGAGGGTGTCCTGCGAGGGAGAAGGGGACTTCGTTTAATTGAGAGAGGCGACACAGAGCCGGGTTCTGAGAGGTCCATAGTGGTTTTAGCTTGAAGGTTTTTCATCGCCAGTGGCGGTGGTGGTGGTGGTGAGTGCTCGTCAGAATTTAACATCTTGTTCCATCGTCACACATGTCTCCAGGCTGTGTTACGGTAAGATTGATTCGTTACATCTTACAGGAGAGAGATCTGGTTGTGTTCTTCAGACTATTTCTAACAAGGCATCAGGATATCAGGATAAGTAGACGAAAATACAAATTACAGTTAGATACAGTCAGACCCCCCCCCCCCCCCCCCCCTTAGACACCCATCCCCCCCCCCCCCCCCTTAAACCCCCTGGGTGTTTATTGTTATAACCCTTTCTTAGAAAATATGGCGAATATTTAACAATATGAATCATGGTAAGACGCAAATCTCAGTACACTTAAAGTTGCATGTTTGAATATTTTCCCGTTATTTTTTGTTCGATACTTTCAACTAGATCATACTAAATCGTAAGGAGGTCTGACTGTCAAATGAGAGTTGACTCCATTTCATTAAATCATTACAAAGAAAATCACAGCCAAAATAAGAAACACCGTACATAAAATATAAAACAATTCGATCTATAACATTAATCGAAAATTGGATCTGTTATCCACGGCAAATCACTGATGCTTTTACCAAATACCAACGAAAATTGTGAACTTTTCACATAACTTGTAGTTTTCTAAAATATTCAACCCTACAAATGCTTTATCACTATGTGTATATATGTGAATCCAACTCCGATTAAGGCTATACGACTTTATCGACAATATCATCGTCAAATTATTGTCGTGAAGAAAATTAGGTGTCAACGTTATGCAGCAAACCAAAGGACTATAATTTATGCTATATAACTAATACATAACGTCGTGTCCAATAAATAATGTAGTATTTTGTAAAAAATTGTATTGTTTTTTAGAATCAGTACATTATTTATGGAACACCCTGTATAAAAGGGTACACCCTGTATAAAAGGGTACACCCTATATAAAAGGGTACACCCTGTATAAAAGGGTACACCCTGTATGAAATGGTACACCCTGTATAAAAGGGTACACCCTGTACGTAGGCGAGATTGTTAACTTTCAGGATGTTAACAATTTAAACAGTTATATCTTAATTATTCACATATGGTATATAATTAGTCTATTTGCTTAGACGGAAGATAATTTAGCAATTAGAGACACGGAGTAATAACCTTTTAGTAATTATTGTTGGTCTTATAACTTATAACTTATAATTATGAAAAGAACTTGAGGAGAAACCGATCACTTAATCACTTAATTAATTAATTTATTAATTACTACTTATATATCACGTGTTTATCGAGGCCAAAACTTTTAAAAGAGCGGAAAATAATAACATTTTTGTATAACCTTCAAATATTCAGATTAGCGATAAACAAAGGATCATACAATAATGGGAGTGACAAATTGGGTACAATGTTTTATTTCTGCATAACTAGCACACACTAGCACGCACTAGCACACACTAGCACACACAAGCGAATACTAGCACACATTAAACTTGCAATTAACGCAGAAACAGTAAGTTTTTTGTATCCAATTGAAGATCAAGCTAATAGTTAAGGGACAAACCAATGTTAAAAAGCTTAATATTAGTACAATATTTCATACAATATTAGTACAATATTTCATATTATATATGATATCAAAGCTTAATACATTACTTTGTGATCGATAACACATTTAATGTTACATCATAAATTCTTGCTAAATTGTAAGTTCGACTTGACAAGGTGTTCGTTTTAGTGTTTCAATACATAATAACATCTATACCAAATGTATACCAAATGTATATATGGGACTATTTTGAAAAACTTAACTAAAGTACTAGCAAAATTGCCCGTTCTGCTCTAGATAAACATGTTATTTTAGAAATTTTAATTTACGTACCAAATATAAAGTACATGAAACGGACAATGACAATTGTCAAACAGTACGCAATACGCACACAAGAAACCTCCCCGATGAAGTGGCAATAACCCTTGTAACTTCGTGATATCGACAAAGGATACAATGCTATCAGGCTATAATGCCACCAAGAAACTAGAAAGTGGGGCTGTAACAGGATATAATGCCACCAAGAAAGTGGGGCTGTAACAGGATATAATGCCACCAAGAAAGTGGGGCTGTAACAGGATATAATGCCACCAATAAAGTGGGGCTGTAACAGGATATAATGCCACCAAGAAAGTGGGGCTGTACGTGACCCAAACATGTAATGGCAAAATGTTTAATTACTGTTTAATTTAATTATTAGAATGTTTTGAACTAAAAATAAAGCTGCTGAACGACTTCCAACTCTCTCTCTCTCTCTCTCTCTCTCTCTCTCTCTCTCTCTCTCTCTCTCTCTCTCTCTCTCTCTCTCTCTCTCTCTCTCTCTCTCTCTCTCTCTCTCTCTCTCTCTCTCTCTCTCTCTCTCTCTCTCTCTCTCTCTCTCTCTCTCTCTCTCTCTCTCTCTCTCTCTCTCTCTCTCTCTCTCTCTCTCTCTCTCTCTCTCTCTCTCTCTCTCTCTCTCTCTCTCTCTCTCTCTCTCTCTCTCTCTCTCTCTCTCTCTCTCTCTCTCTCTCTCTCTCTCTCTCTCTCTCTCTCTCTCTCTCTCTCTCTCTCTCTCTCTCTCTCTCTCTCTCTCTCTCTCTCTCTCTCTCTCTCTCTCTCTCTCTCTCTCTCTCTCTCTCTCTCTCTCTCTCTCTCTCTCTCTCTCTCTCTCTCTCTCTCTCTCTCTCTCTCTCTCTCTCTCTCTCTCTCTCTCTCTCTCTCTCTCTCTCTCTCTCTCTCTCTCTCTCTCTCTCTCTCTCTCTCTCTCGCCCTAGTTGCAGATAGCACAATTCGGTGGGAAACTACAATAATGTCACCATGGGAATGACATGCGCGCATAAATTTTAACGCACGATTCTTGGCAGGGATGAGGAAGGTGAATTTTAGAATTACTCCTAGCTCCTGGACCACAAACAGTTCTTTAGTAAATAGGATATGAAACCACCAACTAAACATTAAAGATCATAGCATAATATCAATACACAAACTAAGACAGTAAGAAATCTTAATCCGTTAGTACAGGTTCAGCTGGTTTTGAGTGTAGAGAATGAAGATTAGGCAGTACTGTTTTATACACATCTGTTTTAAACACCTCTTTAGTCTTATCTAAGCCTAAATTATGTGAGCTTGTACAGATTGGGGCACAGGAGAAGTGCATTGTTCACAGTAATTTAAGGGTTTATCTCAGACAGTTGTACATCTTGTAAGTAAAGGTAAGTAAAGGTAAGTAAAGGTAAGTAAAGGTAAGTAACGGTAAGTAAAGGCACAAGTATGAAGATGTTGGTGTGACTATTTCAAATACCTAGTGTTATAATAAAGAAGAGTGAAGATCTATAAGAATTTACTAGGTGCACATATACACCCCGACATGCAGGGGACACGGACACATGGGAAGCATTGTTTTCTGTGCTACTTATACTCTTATAGCTTTACAGCTTTATAGGACTAACTAGTGTAACCCGTGTCTACGGCTGGGCCTTCGCTATTGCAGTCGAATTGCTTAAGTATAACGGTGGAAAATTTAAAACGGTGGAAAAGTGTGAACTCGTTCAGTCGAAACTGGCCGAATTAGAGTAAATTTAGTTCTGAGCACCCATCACGTATCCAAAAGCAATACTTAATAGGCAATCTTGCGGCTCCTGGGCCCTGGCTCCACTGCCAAATTGCCAAATTATGTACCAAAGCTGTAATGAGGGGAGCTGTAAATGAGGAGATAGAGAGAGTGTGTGAGAGAGAGAGGGATAAAAACTGAAACACTTTAGTATCACATTTGGGGTACAAAACCATCAATTAAACCACGTCTTGTTTTTTATTTGCTTATTTGCTTCCTCATAGTTTTATCGGCACTATACCTAAAAAACCAGTATAATAACTCCGACTGTTTTCTTGATATCAAGCTGTTCGGACATTACACACGTACACACACGTCACACCCACACATTTATTGGGATTATTAGTGTAGATACCAGTTTTAAACAATAAAACAAAATACAGGTGTAAATATTTCAAATACTACGTATAGTAGGTACTGCAGAGTGGAGATGTTGGTGTAACTATTTCAAATAGCTTAAACTCGACATGTCGCGAAATTACCATATATGGTAATGTTACCATGGTAATATTACCATGTAAGGTAGCTGCTTGTGTAATTGTCCTCGCTACCCTGTTTAAGCTACACTGAATATTTATCAAGGGGTAATATTAAAGTCAACTTGTATATTCAATAGTTACTTGGATTAGTTAACTTATAGGTACCTGGTACAATGTACATAGCAATAAGCATTGTAGTAATGTCATTAATGTTATATTTATTTAATGTATTCACTATTATTTCGAATAGTTACTGAGCTTCTGAACTAAGCAACGCGATGTGAGAAATTTGAAAATTGAACTTTGAAACAATTAAAGTTTAGAAAGGCACATATTATAGCAAACTAAAAACAAAAAAGCAAAGAAAGATAATTAAAACTGAAAACAAAAGTGCCTACTCGCAATTAAGAAACAAAGTGTAGCTTGTATAAATTAAGAAGTTATAAAACTTTACAGCAATAATTATAAACCACCTCACACCTAAAGTGCATAGTGCGAGGCAACAATTAATAACAATTAAAACGTTTCTGCTTTAGTATGAGGATAATTACACTGGAGCATGTTACCAAACAGTTGCCTCCCATGTACCAACTGAGAAACTACCATATAAGGAAATGGTTCCTTGGTAGCACTAGTCACTACCATATAAGGAAATGTTACCTTGGTAGCACTACCATATAAGGAAATGTTACCGTAGTAGCACCACCATATAAGGAAATGGTTCCTTGGTAGTACTACCATATAAGGAAATGGTTCCTTGGTAGCACTAATGTTGCCATGGTAGCATTATGTTGCCATGGTAGCACTAATGTTGCCATGGTAGCACTAATGGTTCCATGGTAGCACTAATGTTGCCATGGTAGCACTAATGTTGCCATGGTAGCACTAACAATTATCAAACTCACGGACCACGTCAACTACTCGCGGCTCTACCAAAGCAGCTACAACTACAAAATTAATACGTCGGCTATATAATAATCCATATAATATAAAGGTAAATATAATTACTTTTACAGTAAAAGAATGTAAAT